GAAGGAGCCTGCGAGCCAGCCCCGAGGGGACGGACACGGGCGCTCAGCCGGGGAGCGATGCCTGCTTCAGCGCGGAGCCGGGCCGGGCTGCTGCTCCTGGCTCTGGCGCTGCACTGCAACTTCGGGCGCTGCGGAGCAGGTAAGGGAACCGAATCAACAAGATGTTGGGATGAACGAGCCGCGGCGCCCGGCCCCCGCCTGCCTCCTGCCTCAGGGGGCCACGGGAGAAGGAGTCCCCGGACCCCCTGCGAAGTTGGCTTCTGGGTTTCGGGGCGCACTTTTGTTCCCTTTGCCTCCGGGCGCTCCACGTTGTCCCGCGGCAGCAGGAACACGGGCCGGGCTGGCCGCAAGGCATAAGCCTGGGGCGGCTTCCCAGGCCGAGCAGTTTGCAAGTAATTGAAAACCAGAGACACGTTACTCTTCTATTTGGCGAGGAGACTGGAGCAAATTCTTCTACATCTGCACTGGGCTGGTGTCCCACTGCTCCCGATCTAGTGACTTAGAGGGAACTGCAAGAAATCCAGCTACTTCTCCTATCCCTACCCCCCCTCACCAGCAGGGTGACCCCCTAACTCTTACCGTGCTCTGGCTACCTTCCCTAGTTGGTTCGTTTTATTTTGCACAAGGGAAATCGCTTCACACAAGGGACCAGGAGGTTACTTTGGGTCTTGGGCTGTAACATTTGAGGGGTGTCTTATTTAAGGAAGTTGGAAACTAGATGTAAATGTTAAATAGGGGCACAGGGAAAGAATGACAATATTAAATACATCTAAAAGGGGGTTAAAGTGTTCAGCTGGTCAGTTTCTGTAAAGACCCTGAGTGCAGAGATGGAAATAAGGGCCTGCCAGTGCATTTGCAAACTCTCAAACTATTCCACCTTTGCCTAGGTCGACAGTAGTCTCATTGAAAAGGATCCTCTGCCAGCCCAGGTAGTAAAATGGGTCTCATGGAAGGGAATTAGGACCATGCTCATGTTTGCAATAATACAGTGCAACTTTAGTAACTGACTGCCACCCCTTACTTTTGTGGAGTACAGTAACATCACGTTTCAGGATTAGTCCTGTAGAGTATGCTTATTTGTATATCTGTCATATGAAACACATACCTCAGCTGCTTTCCTCTAAGGTAAATAATCAGGGTGGGAAGAATTAAGAGGTCTAGGCAAGGGAGAAAATAGTTCTCTTCCTAGATGAAACTAGAAAGGAGCTGGAAAATGAAGGAGCAGGATTTGTTTTGCCTTTTTTTAGGTGCATTATTTACTGTTGAAGGCCTCAAATTCCAGGGGAAACGGGACTGGAGTTTTCAGCTTTCTTACTGTCAGGTTACACTTTTGCAGTAAGGAACAGTGTAGGAGTTTTGACCTTCTGGTGTCAGGAGGGTGACTCAAAGTCCTCTCCCTGTGGATCATTGACATTTTTGCTTGTCTGTTTGCTGGCCGCTGTGTATGTTCTGTTCTGTGTGTATATTAAAGAGATGTTTCCATGATGGAAGGGAAGAGGACAGTACATTATCTAATTAGGGAGGCATGCCACATGTTTTTGTGCTTCTTAATCGTTTTGTATGAGTGCTGTAGAAAAGTGAAGCAGACTGTAGCTTACTGGTCCAGAGGCAAAAGGGTTCTCTCTCAGGCCCATGCATGATCTGTGTGGAACATGCTTGGTGGAAGAGTTTTAGAACAACAGATGGAATTTTTTGTATGCCTGGCACTTTTGAAATTTAAGGCTAAATCAAAGGACAGATCTGTATAGACCATGTTAGTGGCGATTTGGACTTGGATAAATATTTATAATTGACAACGGCTGCTACTCTGTAGCAGCTAATCACTTACTAGTCTTATAGGCTGTGTGCCTTTCTTTTCTAGTGCAGTGCTTGATACTGTTCTAAAAAGTTGCAACACTTTTATAATTTGATCTGCACTAATTATAATTTGTCCAGAGTCTGGTATTTAAAGATGTATTTTGGAGTTGCAGTTAATGATAGGGGGAAGGTTCAGTATGAATGGAGAACATTGTTTAAAGGGATTCAGGAATGTGAAATAGGAGCACTGGCTTAAGAACATTTAGAGTATGTTTATGAATGTGCAATACTACAAAATAGAAGTAAAGCAATAGAGCAGATATTCCAAATCAAAGGCCCAATTCTGTATTCTTTGTGCACTCAAAATGCCCAGTGAAATCAACGGGAAACTTGGGTGTGCAAGGAACATGGAATTGGACCCCAGCACAATATGGAGACACTGAAGGTAGGGTCTGGGCCTGTTTTGAATTAGTATTAATAACAAAGTTGCATTCCTCTGAAAATGATAATTAGGGACCACAGATGAGAGGAAGGGAGACAAGGAAATCTAGCTGAGAAAGTTGCAAGCTGCTCCTGCTGTTATCTCCAGCTTTGATTCTTACTGATGTTTTGTTTTGTTGGCAGGGGAAATCTACATCCCTGCTATCTATTCCATTCTCTTTAATAAGCCAGGTATTCAGACCGGCAGTTGAAATGATGGGTATAGGGTAGGGGCTTCTTACTGTGGGAATAAAAAAAAGGCTCAGGCAGTAATCATTGCAATCACTGACATTTAAGAATTACCTTTTAATTATGGATTCTGATTTCTTATTGATTGACACATGGGATTGAATCATATTCTTCTCATACTTGATCTTAATTTTGTAAATTAGGTTGCCAAGACCAGAATGAGCCGTTTCCTACAGCTCCAAAATTTCCTAGGGGCAAACAAATCTGGTGATCATGAGTCATTTAATGTCAGCCTTTCAGTTGTTTGTGTGTTTGGGATTTCTCCCCTCCCCCCAACATCCAAAAAACTCAGGACCATGCATTCTGCTTCCTACCTTCATTCCTCATACCCCGGATAAAATGCAGCTGCATGCTGCCTAGAATGACTTTACTTTTGATGTCTTGTCTCTCTTTATCTTTTGATTCTGCACCATTTATCCTTTGTCACCCTCCAGCAATAGGAAAATATAGGTGCAAGTGTTTTCCCTTTAAGTGCAGATATAAAAAGATGTCTTCAACTGTAGATCTCAAAAGTGAGGATCTATAAAGTTTGATGGCTGTGGAGTTTGGAAGAGACTATAACTATAAATGTCAGACATTTGGAGTAGCCTGTCAGCCGGTGACAAGCAGACAGCTTGTAATTTTTGATGAAACTTTAAAGTCTAACTAACATAGCTGGTCATTTTCTTCCCATATTGTGAAGGAAAAAGGATGGCTGCAGAATGTGGTAGGTGTGTGTCACTAGAGCTGGATGTTTCGCAGATTTGTCGTCTTCTAGTGAAAAGTCCTTTTTTTTTTTTTTTTTTTTTTTAACTTGGCAAGGTGAACTTACAGGAAAATGAACCAAGCCGTCATTTTAAAGGGCAATTAAAGATGAGTTGGAATGTTGAGTGTTTCTCAACTGGAAGATTTAACCGCCTCTCTCCCCAATACACTTCATAGGGTAGGAAGATTTATCTTTTACAAAGGTACTGTTTAAAACGTGGGGACGGGAATTGAGAGTGAAGGGAGACTAATCTTAATGCACTGGATCTTTGGTTCTACAGGCTGATATTAGATTTCAGTCCTTGGTCAGCATAAGTGAAAATGAGTTGGTTAATTGCAATCTGAACTTAATAAGGAATGTTGGTCCATTTAGGGGATACAAAGAAAAGGGAAAAAAAACATTTAGTGCTGTGTGCCTTAAGGCGAGTCAGCCTATTGGACTACAATAGGGATGGTGCAAATCAGGATTTTTTTAATATGTTGACAAAGTTGAACAGAGGGAAGGAGAACTGGATTAGCAAGGGTGCTGCAGGTCTGGATTTAGGTGCATTGGCAGAGCTGCAGAGCTCAGGCTGGGGATTAGAACGGGATGCTTTGGGTCAGGATTGAAGCATATTGGCAGAACTGCGTGGGTGCCCAAGACCGGAATAGCAAGCTGTGTGCAGGTTTAGAAAGAAAAGCATTGGATTAGACCTATGTGTGTCAGAAGGTTGTACAGCTCCTGTCCTGCTCTGTCTGGAACACCTATCTGTCCTCTAGTTTTTTGAGCACTACATTCAGCATTACAATATAAAGGAAGAACCGCAAGTTGAATATGAGGCCTGAAAGGAGAGAGTCATTCTCTTCATTTTAATGGCAGAGAACTTAAACATTTTCTGTTGCCCTCTATTCCCTGTTAAAGAGGGAAGGGATTTTTAGGGTTTTATCTTTCTTCAAAAGCTTTCAGTAGAAAAATAGTAGGAGCATTTGTTCCTTTGAGATTTCTTAGGTGCTCCAGAAAATGTTACCACCACTCTGATCATACCATTTGCTTGATGGGAATTCATCGCTGTTCTCTGACATGGGACTGGTTTTGTTGTGCATTTGGTTTTTGTTAGACTCGGCATGTACATCTTGGAACAAGGATCACAAGCTCTCTAGGGTATATTTCCTTTTCCCTCTTCCTTCTCTCTGCCCCACTTTGTTGCCAACCCTATGTGGGTTGTGGAGTGGCTGTGGAAAAATGAGAGTGTGATGCTGTAACATTGACTACGCAGTTACAGATACAGCATAAGCAAACCTCTCATTGTTTATTCCAAGGTAACACCATCACTTATGTTTGACTAAGATATCATCCACCACTGCAGATGGCTTTAAAGAAATAGATATACTGGTGTTACCCTGCTTGATGGAGATGGAATCTCTGGAGCCTAGGGTTAAAACAGCAGTAGGAGTTGTCATCGCAGGTCAGGATTGAGTGTCACCATATGATGAAAATTTCACAGCGTTGCCTGTACCATGCTAGGTTTACTCCCGTGCTGTCAATTTTGTATTTTTGTGACATTCCGAAGAGGTCTTTGCTTGGATCTCTGGCCCATCAATATACAGAAAAGTTACCAGGAAAGGGAAGGAAGCTTCTTGTCTCTATCCAGGATTAGGCCCCCTTGCCTAGAACATATGGGTATACTGGTGTAGGCTTCTTCAGGCAGCATTGCCCCAAATGCACAGGCCAGGGACGGCCCTAGACTAGCTGCCAGCAACTGGCACCCTAGGCGAACTATGTAATCGGCACCCCCACCTCCAAACCCCTCAATGATATTGTGCCATCATTTGGTGCCCCATTTAACTTGGTGCCCTAGGCGACTGCCTAGTTTGCCTATGTGGACAGGC